TGTGTGTGTGTGTGTGTGTGTATGTGTGTGTGTATGTTAGCGCGTTTGGTGTGTGATGGCACGTATGGACGCTCCCCTGTGCGCGTTTGCGCAGGGCATCCCTGCATGTGCTCACATGGGTGAGCATGCGCCTGAGTCTGTCGACAAATTCGGCATGCGTAATGCACCCGCACACCCTCAATCACTGCTTGCGGGCGCCGCCTCCCCCATGCTACTGCAGCAAACTCAGCAGCTGCAGAAAGAGCTTTGAAGCCTTTCAAATTCGCTCACCGCCGGTGATTCTGGTACACGCCCTGCAGCTCATAGTACACAAAGATGGGCGGCCGCATGCGCTCAGGGATGGTGAGGGTTATGGTGCAGGCCAGGGCGCTCTCATTGTACGTGTCCTGAGACTGGGACTGCGGGTTTGAGGTGTGTGGACAGAGTAAGGGTCGCGTGGGATGTGGGTGAGCTGGCATCAAGGTGCGCCCAAGGGCTCTTGAGATGAACGGATGCACAAGGCACATGCAGGCCGCCGCGCAGACAGCGGTGCAATCCCAGCAAAGTGCGATCCCTGCCAGGGAGCGGCGCCCCTTCCCCCCAGCCGCGGCTCACGGTGCGTATGAAGCTCGAGCGCGCGGCGTTGGTGGTCAGGTTGGCCAGGCACTCGTCATCATAACGCTGGTACACCTCGACAGGCTGGGTGATGCGGGATGGGGGGAAACAACAGGAAACAACAAGTAGATGTGGGCGAGGCAGAAATTATGGCTGTCAGCGGGGTTCAATGGCGTGCGTTCGGTCAGCGGAGAGCGTAATGGCAATGCAGGAGAGCAAACGTCTGCACGATTCGAGGCGGGGGCCGGGGGGTCTGCTCGAGGTGTGCAGCTCGAACTGCAGAGGGTGGTGCGTTGATGCTCCCCCCGCCCTCGTCAAGTTGGAAAACGGCTCACCTTGAGGCCATAGACCAAGCACACGATGCCGATCGGTATGGTCACCGCTGCCACACCAAGGAATATGAACAGGACCTGGCAGCACATGAGGGGTTGGAGGGCAAGGGAGGGCGTCGGCCGCGGGCCGTCTCCGTGCGGGGCGTGAACGCGCCCCATGGCATGCAGAGGATTGTGGCAGGGAAGGTTGGCACCCAGCCAAACGTGCCCACCCATGTGGCGTCCAGGACGGGCTTGCAGGCGGGAAGCTCTTGCTGCGTCAGTTGGGTGTCTGCATAGGGCGGCGTGGGCGAATGCACGAGCGTGACCCCGCAGTATGCATGCCTGTGGTGACAAAGTGATGCAACGCCCCGGGGGGGGGGGGCGCACCGTGCATGGCACAGAGCATGGCATGCATCGCATGATACGAGAACGCATAGGCTTGTCGCACTGGTGCAAAAGTCCATCTAGCAACCTCGCCCGCAGCGCAGCAGCCTGGCAGCCCACATTTCGGCTCCTTGGTGGGCTTCTCTTTCTGCTGCGGCGCGTCTGGATCCGCCTCCATGGCAGCTGCTCAGCGCCCCCAGGGGGCGCTGGCCTTGTGAACGCCGCTGCAGCCTTGGTTGCCACCGAGCGGGGTTCTAAGCGCACACGGTTCTGTCAGCGCTCGGCCGCTGCACCCGCCGTTCCGCACCGGGCGCGCAGGTCAAGCGTCGCAGAGCAACCGGGCACGGCGGCCTGCCCCGAGCTGGGCAATCTCGGACAATCCACTTCTTCCGATGCTGCTGGCACGCAGGTCACGGGTGGGATCAGGCGCCTTTCTGCGGGTTGAGATGGACCTGGCTGACAGGTGTGTAGCATAGGGCGGTCAACGGCGCGGCCCGGGCTTAAGCAATTGTGCCATATATGCTAGACTACCACCTAATGAGGGTACGGGTGCGCACAGAACGATCTCAGCAGTCGAAGGGAAGCTGGTCCCCACCATTCAAGCATGCCTGGTTGATGAAGTGTCCGATCACGCATTACATCCGCGCATTGTATTTGAAAGCGTTGGCTCTCGTGCGCATCACCATACGACAGATCACTCTGCTTGTCTCTCGTTAGGAGCCCACGCTCTTGCCTGGAAAGGTCTGACGCCTTAAGACCAATATATAGGCATTATTGCACTGATCTAGGCCGTCCTACAGACCACGGGGCAGGCACTGCGCTCGGCAGGTGCTGCGCCCACTTGAGCCTCTACAGGCGGCCGCTCGCCACCAAGCGCAGCGGCAATCCCAGCAGCGGCCGCCGCGGCAGTGGCGGCAGCACCCATGGCGCGCATCGTGGCGGGCTCTCAGATCACGGACGCCGAGTACATGCGGGACATCAGCCTAGGCACGACTATCATCGCAGTCACATTTGACGGCGGCGTCGTGCTCGGCGCTGACTCGCGAACGAGCAGCGGCACGTACATTGCCAACCGCGTTCAGGACAAGATCACGCCGCTTCTGGACAATGTATACCTGTGCCGCAGCGGCAGCGCGAGTGACACGCAGGTGGGTGCACGCTGCTGCACGGCTGAGCTGGCTGTTCACGCAACACGGCCTGCTAGCAGACGTGCACGTGCTTGTGCACACGAAGATGAGCAGGCAAGCAGCAATCCTGAATGCAGACGTACACCTGCGCTCAAACCATGCGTGCGCTGGCGAGCGCGCGCGCACACACACACACACACACACACACACACACACACACACATGCACACACACACACACGCGCGCACGCGCGCGTCATGCAGGCAATTGCTTCGTACGTGCAGTACTACCTCGCACAGCACCAGGCCGAGCTTGGTGGCCCTGTGCGTGTGGAGACCGCGGCCAAGCTGGCCATGCAGATGGCCTACGGGAACAAAAACATGCTGCAGGCCGGCCTCATCATTGCGGGCCACGACTCGTCCGGCGGCAGCGTGTGGGCGATCCCCCTGGGCGGCACGCTGCTCAAGGTGCCCTACGCTATTGGCGGCAGCGGCAGCGCGTACATCACGGGCTGGTGCGACAAGAATTGGCGCGCGGGCTTCACGCGGGAGCAGGCGCGCGAGTTTGTGCGCGCCGCGCTGCGGCACGCGATGGCGCGCGACAGCAGCAGCGGCGGTTGCGTGCGGACGGTCGTGATCGATTCCAACGGTGCCGACCGCGAGTTCATCCCCAACACCAAGCTGCCGCCCACATACGGCGAGCTGGCGGCGCCAGCATGAGGGCGCCAGCGCTTCGGCAGCATGCTGCACATGTCCAACCCGTCATCATATCGCTGTGGTGCGCGGCGCCGAGATGTTCATGGCGGCTTGCGGCTGAGCTGATGAGGGCCAAAGGCGCCTGCAGTGTGGCTGTCGGTGTGTTGGACTGTGTTTGCACCAGCCCCGTCCTGAGGCTGCTTAGCATAGATCGTCTTCGTTGGCAGGTGAGGTGTAACTACTACACATCTCTATAAGAAGAATGCGCGCGCATGCAGCGGGTCAACACAGCCAGCGCGCAACGCAAGGGCTCTCATCCATGTGCTAGTCGAGGTTTGGCAAAGTCCAAATCAAGCAGGGGCAAAATCAAGGGGGGCGCAGCGGGTGCTCGCGTCGCACCACACGGAAGCAAAAGCGGGTTTGGGGGCAGGTACAGATGTGGGTGCTGCTCGGGTGCCAATGCAAGGCGCTGCTTGCTTTGGTCGAAGACCCTCCGAGCATCATTTGAGGTGCGGTAAACTACATTCGTGGCAGCCAGACTCCAGACACGGCCTCTCGTTTGCACAGACTGTGCTTTATGCTGGCACGGCCCCCGCACCGCTGCCCCCGCCCTCTGAAGGCGCTGCCGCTGCCGCAGGCGCGGTCCCCGCCGCTGCCGCTGCCCCGCTCGGCCCCGCCGCGCCAGCCGGCTTCTGGGGGTTGTGCTGCAGCAAGTAGTGGGCGAGGTACTCAACGGGGTTATCAGGACGTTCCTTGCAGAGCGACTGCAGCCCCTGCATCAGTAAAGGGACGACCGTTGATTCCTGCAGCGCAGTGTGAGCGGCGCGGCGTAAGCGCAGCAGCAGGCGCGAACGTTCGGCGTGTGTTGTGAGGTCAGCTCGGCAAAGACCACTGCTTAGGAAGCCTCCGGCTTGCCCAAGGCCGGCGGATGCTGCCGCCTAATGCCAGGCCACCGAGTCTAGGTTTCCCACTCTGCAGGCTGTCGACCGCAGAGGAGCGGCGCCCGCCCCGCGGCGCACCAGGTATTGCCGGATCGGCATAGCCTGCGGCGTCGGCCGCTTCTGGATGGAGCTGGCCGCCTTTTCTGCGGCTTTGACCTGCGCACATCGTATGCGTTTAGTTGAGCGCTGAGCAGTGTCCCTGCGCAGCATGCAGAGTGCAGCGAGACGATACTCCTACAGCGGAGATGCGCACAAGCTCGCGCGCACCGCATCGGTCGCTGCTGCCGCGGATGTCGGGCCTGCTGGGTCCCTGACAATGGGTTCGCCGGGATCTGCGGCAGAATGACGTCGTGTTGGTGGACGTGGCTGTGCGAGTCATTGCCAAGCTGGCCCGGGTTGCGCGCCACCTGCGTACCAGACGCACTCTGCCTCATCCTTGCCAGCGATCCCTGCCACAAGGATGACCCTCGTCGTTTCTTTTTTTGAAGCTTCAATGGAGAGGCCGGGAAGGGTCAACAACACGCGGCTGCCCCACCGGCCGTGGATGTTTTTGGGATGCTAAGCTGTAGGGTATCACGAACACCAACTTTTGTCCTAGAACACTCAGTCAGTAAAGGTTGATTCGGATCCGGTGGCCGCTGACCGACCGCTGACACAGCAGTGCCACATTTGAACCTGGGGCTGACTTGTCTGCTGGTGTCCTTACAAAACGGTCAAAAAGACTGATACATACAACGTGTGTCCGTTAGAGGTGCGTGGTGGTCTCAAGCCAGCCACCTCGGTCCAATAAGCATTGCTGCATGGTCAAACACCTGCTTGTGCCATCCTATGACCTCACAGCAGGCGATTCTGTGTGCGCTCGGAGACTGTGGTGTTTGCGGGCTGCGTTTGGGACGTCGGGGTCATGCCCAGGAAGGGCAAGCAAGACAACGGCCTTCCAAGCTGTCACTTGCTTGGTTATTGTACTGGAAAACATATCAGCATGCGTGCTTGCACGCGCTGTCTGCGGCGGCTGACATCTCGAACCAGCCAGCCATTCGCTGTCACCTCGCCACTGTTTTTACCCACCAGACGCCGTCCACCAGCACTACACGGCACAGCTCGCCGCAGGACTTACTGCATTACGATGGATGACAGGACTGCAAAGAGAAGCGAACCGCCACGCGTGTGCACACAGGCGGAGGGCGAGGCGCTGGTTGAGCACCCTCAGCCCCGATGGTTTCACGGCAGCTACTAGGGTGGCGGCAGAGCCGCGCCGCGTGCGGCGGCTCCACATGCGTGGTGTGACCTGAGCACCAGGGGCTGCAGACCTGCTGACTGAGCACAATTAAATACCCACGCCCCGCTCACGCACGCCTCTCAGATTCCAGGATTTTGCCGCGCATCGTGCACCTTATCTGACATGCCCCCACGCTGCCAGCTGCTGCGGTGCCCCGCGGGCAGCCCCTGCAATTGCGTGCTGTGGTCTATGCACAGCGCTACCCGCCTGCCTCGCTGCGCCCGGCTCAGCGCCGGCAGCGCCGGCCCCTGCGGCGCGCCGGCGCAATACCCGCGGCAGGGCCGGCGCTCTACCTGCCGGCTGGGCCTATCGCGAGCAGCTCCTTGGCCCGCTGCTGCGAAGTGGGGCTGGGCAGCGCCGCCACCTGCTCCTGCAGCGCCGCGGGGCCGAGCAGCGCCGCCAGCGCCGCCATCAGGCGCGCGTTGGAGGCGCGCATGTCGGCGCGCGCCTCGTGGAGCAGCGCGAACGACGCGGGCACGGCGTGGCGCAGGACGAGCTGCGGCCGGGTGGGGTGGACCTGTTTGAGGGGGCGCATCACATGATGGGCGAAAGGAGGGTGTTGAATCGAGACAGGTCGCTGGAGGGTGCAGATTAAGGGACGGCCAACCTTCCAAGCAGCCGGTGAGGGCGTGGCGCCGCCAGCGGCGCGGCCCTTCGCGGCCCCGGGGCAACGTATCAGGCTGGGAGTCCATGGCGTCGGTCATTTTCGAGTGAAGGGGGGGCAGGGCGGGATGCAGAGTGATGCGGTACCCAATGCATAACTAAAAAGCGGTCGCGCGCACCTGCATCGCCAGCTCAGCAATCTTCTCCACCAGCGCCGCGCGCCCCCGCCCCGTGCCACCGCACACCACGTGGCTGTAGTGCTGCATCAGCAGGCCGGGGTCGACCCCCGCCTCCCCCAGCGCGTCGAGCGCGCCGGCCGCCGTCGCTCTGAGGCGGTCCTGGGCAGAGCCCAAGCTGCCGGCCAGCAGGGGCACCAGCGCGCCGAGCGACGGCGCCACGCGCTCGCCGGCGGCGGGCAGCAGCAGGGAGAGCGTCTGGCGGTGAGCGAGGGGCGGG